GAACAGTTTACAACTTCGTTTGAGATTTACAGGCGTTGCATTGCAGCTGTATCTGTTAATGTACACCCTTCCTTATAGCTCCTGTTTCTTTTATGTAAATGAGAGCAGTCCAGCTTGTGGTGGTAAACAAACAGTGGCTGAAACATTTCCGTTTTGGTACAGACATAAGACTCACGATTGCGGCCTGCAAGTTGCTTCATCAGTAACATCAAAATACAACACACATGAACGCAAGCAGGCAGGAACAACACACCAATCAAAATAAATCCAAATCAGGCCGTAAACAAGCAGTTATTCAGTCACATGCATTCCTCAGTCACTCCCTCACTATAAAAAGGACAGATCACACACACACACACACACACACTTCCCCAATGCCAGAAACAGTGTTTTTATCCAAGAGCTAGACTGGCTCGTCTTCCTCACACAATCTTTATCTGAGGCCATGTGACACCAAAGCATACAAGTTGGATATGAAAGCAATTAGGTCAGTGCTAATTAGGCCCATATCACGATTACAAATTTGGACAAACTTCCTATTCGGTCCCTAATGCCACAGGAAGCCCACACTTATCTATTTTTAAATGTTGTGAAACAATAACAGCCCTGTTGTGCAGTTCACAAAATAGTCACATAATATTGAACTGGGTGACAAGCTGCATCATATAGAAATTAAAAAAGGTCCAAAATACAATATATTCTTTGGGTGCAAATGTGCAATTTAAGGCAGGATGCAGAGAATTATCTGTAATAAATGTGATGTATAATAAATCATTAGCCTGTGTGCGATAACCTCGGACCGGCTCTTTACATCAATCCAAAACGCTGCAGTCAGAGCGTGTTTGTTTTCTTCGGCTTACCCACCCACTAGCCCACATTGCGCAGGCCCTAAAAAGCCCTTTGTCCCATATATGTAATGCCGCCAAATGTCATGTCAGCCCGTTATTTGATGCAATATGCAACCAAATATTCATAATGGATATTCTACATAACGCTGGTTTAGTCCCAGCTGGTTAAATGTGCCATCAGTGGCGGCAGCAGCAGCGGCGGC